TGTGTCCACCTATGTAGTTTCCTTTCTACCCCACCCCTAAAATTTTCTTTACTGAAGTCACCATCTTTATAGTTCAATGTATACTAGGAAGCTATGACATCCCAGCCACTGGACGGAACATAGATACAGATCGGCATGAGATCCTGTAATTCATCTAATCCCATTTTTTCCACAGTTATACATGCCTCTGGAACAAGAATGAAAATATAAAAAATGTTGCACACTTGTCAACATAAAAAGGATCATAGACCTCCCCCAACAGTACTAACACAGTACCCCAAGATTGCTTCCCATATGAAACAATTGTAATGAATAAAAAAAATCTTTAGCCAGATGCATATATCTTAGAGAAACAGTAACATATGTTCATAGCTAGGACCAGAAGAAGAAAGCTTGAATGGGAATAGCCAGTGTCTGAATTGGAAATTCATCACTAAACATCGATATTAGGAGGAAATAGACACACATACATTATTCAGAACAGAACACGATTTATTTCAGGATCACAGAAATATTTTGATTAACAAAATAAGATCAGGTGGCACCTTTTCTGGAAAGAAGCATAAAATCTTCTCAGATGTAGGGAAAAAGCATATAGTTCATGTATTACATCACTGCAAATAGATGAAAAGAGGGATTTGAGGCAATGTTGGACATTAACAGATCAGCAAATAGAAAGCATCAGAGATCCAAACAAGGGACGTAAGAGCATTCCTGTTTCAGTGGGAAATCATCCAAGATGGGTAAGCGAATAATTATGAATTGTGAGAGTTATCATAGTTCTGACCAATGTTTCAGTAAGTCAAATGTGTCAGGTGGGATGTTGAAATTCTACAACTGTAAGAAATGGATACAGTTTAAATTGCAGCAATTATCCATCCCTTCATCTTGCAGTCTGATCTGAAAGAATATTAGAAGTTATTTGTATTTCAGAGAAACACGATGACTGGAGTCTTAATGACTCCGAAACAAAGTTATCAGGATCCAAACAATTATAAGAGAAGATGAAAGGCATACTGTCAACAGCATCAAGAGGTGCCAGAGGTGAGAAGTCCAGTGTGTAAATGTGCGAGGGACCCAATGCGTGAAAGCAGAACTGTGGAAGTGATCATTTCCAATCATTTATTTGAAGTAAAATATCAGTCATATTTTTTCACATATCAGTGTAGAAAAAACTCAAAAAGTGAAGTAATTCAATTTTCAGCCACAATAGGGCTGTTTTTTCCCACTAGGTCATTCAAATTTAATGTGTCCATCTATATTGGCTTTAAAAGATTTCGTGGAGGACACCATTTAATCTCCAATTTCTTGGTGTTTTGCAATGTGTATAAAATAGTTAAGACTTTTTGCATGAATTTCATACTGATTGTTATTTTAATCAAAATGTAATAGATATGTGCTTGTGGCAATATTGCATACTGTTCTTTGTCCACTAGATGTCTCCAGAGAAATACAAGTAAACAGTACTAATAGAAAATACTATCAATAAGAATCCAGTTTTTAAATTGCAAAAGAACCTGCTTAATGAGAGTCAAATAGTTACATTGGTTCACTACTTAAAATGAGAGTGGGTCTGCCACTTAACAGGCTTTTAATAGAAATGAAAGTATTAATTTACACAAGGAAGATGGTTTCTACTCACATTTATCTCCAAAAGGATTCTGCCCTGCTTCTAAATGAGTTAACATTAAATAAATATCACATGCTGTTCATTTTGGGGTACAGTTAATCACATCTTTCTCAGTATATGATTCATTATCTTCAATGTATTAGACCAGACCTCATTTAGAAGTTTAATTGGAATGGAGTGAGGAATACCATACTGGGAGAATGTCTCAGCATATCACATTTCCTGTTGACTTTACAATGTGTCATCAGAAATATTCAAGCTTATTTATTGTTTTTTTGACCTCTTTAAATTGTTCCTTGATGTTCAGTTTAATTTTAATTGCATGCATATTTTATGCAAAAATTACTTACTTTGAATTATTTGAATCTAATAATTCTAAGAAAACATTTTCCTTCACTCAAACAACACAAAGACCACTGGATGTTTTGCAGAATTTCAATTTATTTTAGCAGCTAGCAGCTAAACTAGGTGCAGGGGAAGGCTGGGATCCTCCCTAGCCTACTTACTTAAGCATGAGGAGTGTTTCCCTCATGAAACTGAAATATCAAGTTCAACACCTTACCATGTTTTACAAGTGAGTTCTGTTATATGTAATTTACACACAGACCAGTTAGAGAGCAAAATAACAAGGACTGTTTTCAAGATCCCATGAACCATGTGTTGTAAAGTGGATGTTTAGAAAAATTATTGCACAAATGACCACTCTGGATCTTTCAAAGCCAAAGAAATACTGGCTTTAAAGCATTTGCTCTTGGTTTGAGCATCCAGGTTTGTTGAATTCATAGTCCATGTCCAGTTGTAGGCAGTGCAAGGTAAGTTCAAGGTTGGTTACATGCTGGTGACAGTAATCATGTTATTACAATGATTTCATTGTCTCCAGAGGCTTCAAGCCATGACACAAAATCCCCTAGCTAATCGGCAAGTTGCCATTAAATTAGCATCCTGATAGAGACAAATGACCCTGTCTTTCAGACACATCACTATTCTTCAGTTACATATGAAACCATTTCTTTTTTCATGAATGATTTACATTTCTGGATCAAAATTTGTGACCCTGGAAAGTCAAACTTAATTGTCATGATTTCCATCTTTCTCACAATTGCTAGGAAAATTACATAGCCAACCCAAGGTCAAAATATTTTCATGGAACAGAAGAGAAAGGATCTGTGAGGAGAGAGAGAATGAATGAATGAATTTGACCTTTGATGAGTAGTCTGAAAGAGGACAATTGCATTCTTCCCTAGATTTTCCTGTCTTTCCTATAACTTGAGCTGTCTTTCCTTCCCTTTTTCTGAAACTTTCCTTCCCTCACCCTAACTAAAACCATCAGCTATGGTCAGAGTTCAAACATTAGCCTTGGGTTTTCTTCCACTGTTTGACATATAATATCACACTACAGTTTTATAATCTGCATTTACCTAAAATTTTCTTTCTCTTTGGTTGTTTTCCAACTTTTAAATTTGCAAATAGTTAATTTTCACAGTCTGGCTCTTATTTTCAAGACTTTCTTTGATGTCATTACTAATCCTAACTGTAAATATTTGTTGAAGGGTGGCATTTGATGACTTCCATTGGTCTTTTTACAAGATGGTCCTTAGGATAGATAGAATTCTATTATTCAAAACTCTGAAAAGAGTTAAGAGATTCTATTAGTTGTATGAGTATACATCATGCTTTTTATAAAAAGTAAAACTCTACCACTTGTCAGAAGATAAGTAATCTTTGCACATAACTATATTATCAAGAATACTCTAGCAGCTAATTTACTGACATTACGTAGAATTTATTTTCATAGAACATAAAATTTTTATCTGTTCAATTCAATAAGCAGCACTGACCATTTACCATTTGTACAACATAAGAGTAATACACAGCTTTTATATATGGCAAACCAGAGATATACAGAGAAAATTAGAATGATTCCATTTATGGAACTATAAACGTTAGACTTTCTTTTCCCACAAGGGACCAGGGAAGGAATATACTTTCCCTTTATTTCTATTTTCTCTCCAGTTCTCCTTGTGAATTGTGCCAAGATTTCAAAATTTTAAAACCAAGATTTCAAAATTGAAAAAGAAACCTCTAAATCATATTTCAGAATGATGTTTCCTTGTATGCCTTCTTAATAAACTAGCAGGAAGTTGCAGAATTATTTTAACATTCAGGGGCAAAACCCCACCGGAAGTTGAAATATCATTCTTGTGATACTTATAATCCACTCTTGCCCAATCCAGCTTCCTCTTAAAACCAGTCCAAGTGGACAACATAAAGAGCTCAGGCAGTCTGTATATTGCCAGTGAGAAACCACCAATGTGCGTACAGAAGGAACACTTTGGAACCAAATGTATTGATTGGAATAACACTTACACTCTAGGATGCCAAGAAAGTAGTGTATTCAAGAAAATGGAGTGAAGCGACCATTTTCAGCCTGATGTTGACATTTGACATTCTGATTTCCTTAATCCAGATCATTCTGAACCATTTGATATATCATGTATGAAGTGATAAAACGCATGTTCCCTTGGCTGGGAATTGCATAGTGTAACATTAAGAGACTTTAGTTGTTCTTGATAAAATCTGAGGAAGAATAATTTTAGCAATGACCCTGTTTCTTAATATGCATTTAATTATTCCATTGCTTTTGGATTAGTAATACTTGTTTCTATTAGGAGATGTTTTTGTCCAGGGGTTATCAGTAGATGTGCTGCCTAGAGACACTCAACACCGTGTGAAGTATGTTATAAAAAAAAAAGACAAAGCTTAATTTTCTTTTTTTCTGCTTCATTTCAAAAGTTAGGGAAACTTGCCAGATGTAGATTTATATATTCTCTGCACACTGTATATTCTTTGGAAATTGAAAAGAGAAAGGAAACTGGAGCTTTAGCTCCATTTCAGTAGATTGCAAAGGAAATGTGGACTTTCCTACAAGACTTTTCAGCAAGTTAGAATTCTAATTTCATGCAAGTTTTAAACCTACTAGAATTTGTTTTTAATCTCCTTTGTGATTATCAGAATTAACATTCTTTCCTTATGAAAAATAGCCCTGCAGCCCTCATGTAGAATGACTGTGACAACTGTGATAAGATCAAATCATAATATTTTTCAGCACATGAACATGTACTATGAAAGGGATAGATTTCAGAATATTCCTTAAAATAAGACAAAAATCACTTTCATAACAAACTTTCAAACTTCTGCAAGATGAAACTGAAATACAAGCATGCAATGAGTCAGTTGTTCATATGATTAAAAACAAATAACTTTCTTATAATGAGAAGAAAGAGAAGTTCAGAGTGCTCACTTAACACAAGGAACCTAAACAGATTTTCTCTGGCAGCTTGAAGTTGCTGATGATTCTTGGAGAGAGTTCAGATTCCCAGGTTGATACAGTGCTCCCTCCCACACCCCTGACATGTATATAAACTCAGCTCTCTGAAGCCCACTGCCAGTTCTCTTCGTGGACTAACTGCAGCGGAGAGACCAAAGATGATTCCTTTCTTATCCACATTTGCTCTGCTCTTGCTGTGGGCTGTGAACCCTGCAAATGCCAATGGCTATTATGACAAGGTCTTGGCTCATAGCCGCATAAGAGGCCGGGATCAGGGGTAAGTTAATGGTTTGTTTTATAAACTTTGTCCCCCTTAACTTTTATATGTGCAAGAATACATATAGCTTCTTACAGATACACTTCAGAATGTTTTATAAGGTAATAAGAAAGGAGAAAAGAATGAGCATTTTATGATTTATATATGCCTTTTATTGAAGAATTGCTATCAAAATAACTTGAGTGTAATTACTTTTTATGAAATACTATGTATTTTTTATCTAATTAACAAAATTCATCAGGGCACTTTCTGTGATTCAGTTTGTGCTTTTATTTCTTTACACAACACTGAAATGGAGTTTTCAAAATTAAAATATCTATTAGAGTATATCATTATGCAAAGCAATTAGAAATATCTCACATGATAGAGCAAATTTCATTTAAATTATTGGATGATGTTGCTAGGTCTCTGAGTTTTCTGTAGTATTTTTATTTCATAGAATAAGTTCAAGTACATTTATCAGTTTTTAGTTATTAGGCATAACTCAGACATAATTTATAACTTAAACAAACACTTATACTTTTATGTAGATCTTGTCACTTTTTCCTATGTCTATAACATTCAAAGGCTCCCTTGTCTCACATTAGAAATAAAACTTCCTTCTCTTAAAGGAAGAATAAATAAACAATTGTGGCAGGGGATGTTTAGATCTATTACTTCCATTCAAAGAAGTAAATTGTCTTTTATGCTACGTTTTGTTTAAAAGTTAATTATAGTGTTCATTTACTTCTGCAGTTACCTAGAAAATTACAGAGCAGAGTTTGTGCATAATAAAACTTGTCTCTTTTGCTTTGTGATCTCTCATTGTTCCACAGAGTCCTAAAGCCACTGTCATTCCTCAAATGAGTACATTTGCTGTCAAAATTGTCAGTGGATTGTCCACTATTAAAAGACACATAACAATTTTGTTAAATTTAATATTTAATTCTGTTTGAGTATTCCTACTAAGTCAACATTTTTATATATTTGGTATTTTACTCTCCTAGATATATAATTCTGTATAATTCTCTGTCTCTCTCTCTCTCTCTCTCTCTCTCTCTCTCTCTCTCTCTCTCTCTCTTTCTCTCTCTCTCTCTCCCTCTCATAAACTTAAGTTTTATGGTAGGGTTGTGCAAGGCTAAAATCACATCTGTGACTATTAAACCCATATCTTAACCTTTACAAATAGCATTCACTATGAAAAGGTAGTCACAACTAAGACATTAACTCTTTTCTCTTTCCTCTATCCTCAAGCCCAAATGTCTGCGCCCTTCAACAGATTTTGGGTACCAAAAAGAAATACTTCAGCTCTTGTAAGAACTGGTATCAAGGTGCCATCTGTGGAAAGAAAACGTGAGTCTTTTCTTTTTCATCATTTGCCAGTTCCAATGGTAACACAATGATTCATATGCCTCCTCCTGATATACACACCACTCTTGAAAATACTGTTCAAGGCAGGGTGTGGTGGCTCAAGTCTATAATTCTAGCTATATGGGATACAAAAATCAGAAGGATCACAGTTCAAAGCCAGTCTGAGAAAAAAGTTCAGGAGACCCTATCTCAACCAATGACTGGGCACAGTAGCTTGTGTCTTCATCCCAGCTATGTGGGAAGTGCAAATAGAAGGAATCGAGGTCAGGCTCACCTGGGCAGAAAGCAAGACCTAAATAAAAACCAATATAAAAAAGGCTAGTGGAGTGCCCTATATGGTAGAGCACCTGCCTAGCAAGTACAGCAAATGCAAGGCCCTGAATTCAAACCCCAGTACCACTAAACAAATATCTACATACATACAAATACATACATTTTTTTTTAAATTGTGAGCTTTGTGAGCTTTTTAAAGAAAGAATCAAATGTGAATAAGGAAACTTCCCCTTCTTCTCCGCTATTACTAGTGGGACTCAGATTTCTCCCTGAATCCACATGTCCAAACGGAGGCAGGTCACATGGCAATGTGATTTGGTATAGAAGCAGTGGGAGACTACTATGTTGCTTCTACTCCTCTTTTATCCTTTGTATTGCTTGGTCCTCTTGTATATTAAGCAAGTCAGTTAACTTCTGTGCCTCAAGTCCTCATTTTACATCTCAAAAAAAGTGGTTCAGAAGAACAAATGGATTTGAAATATAGGATTTTTTGGAGCAAAAATGAATGTTTGCTTCTAGTCATTTGGAAATTATGTGAAGTATTGCAGCTTGTCACAGAGGCTTCATTAAAGCTCAAGGTTGAAAAGAACTTAAATTTCATCTGTTCGTTAACTCATTGATTAGTAGACCAAGTTGCCAGATCCACAGGTGTCCATAAAGATGATGATGAAATCCCATCACTTTGTTTAATATTTCAATATCTAAAAGGATGATCAATCTCCAACTTATTTATAGATGTCATTCATTAACTTAAGATTAGAAAGTACTATTTATTACTTAGTAGACATACATAGTGGTTTATTCTAGCATAAATATTGGTAGGAAAAATAAAAGTCTAGGACACATAAATTGTAAGAACCACTTACATGGTCCAAAATCATTTTGCAATAATGAAGCTGAGCTAGAGCTAGGATAAGTTATTAAATCAAAATGGATTTTGATGCCATTCCCACTGAAGCAAACAATAGAAATGAGTCCTTCCTGATATCCATTAATTTGGGCCCTACATTCAGCAGGGATGTCTTAAGCACCAGAGGATCTGAAGAAACTGCTTAGCACATCATATTGAACTTTACTTACCCTAAACAAGGGGAAGAATTGGTTAAAAACTTATTTACAACCTATTGCTATTGGAACAAATACTAAATATGTAATCACAACCTCTTGGAGAATTTACCTACATTGTAGGGTTTCTGAGAGAATAAATGAATTGATGAATGTGAATTTACTAAGTAACAAAACAAAATTGATTATCTTTAAAATTAAACTCTTTTAAAGCAAATACATATACATAAATGGGAAAAGGAGTTGTCACCAGGTACCTACTTGAAATGCATATGGCTATCTTTATTTCCAAGCAATACTCATGCATAAAGGCATACAGCCGTAGCTTGATTATATGTCCCCATGACAACCACATATAGGATATCACAGGACTTGTTGCTGGTTTACTGTTCATTGACTTAGTAGAATTGCAACTCGATAATATTTTTTGACCTAGACATTGTTCCTATTAGTCTGCAGACATATGGTAGACTTGTGAGTCATTCACACAATTATAAAGCAAGTCAGTGTTTACAATGATCTTCCCATGCTGCAAATCAGTCCCCAGTTGAGAACTTTATGGCTCTGAATTCTCCTTTGTTCTTTTTATCTTGGATACCATGAGAGATACTTGGAATGCATACTAACTAGAAAAGAAAGGACATGCTCTATGAATATCTACAGAAAATCTTTATTACATCCTGGAATTTCAGGAAGTATGCTATAATCTTTCTTTAACCATCTAAATATATTAGAGATGCCAAAATTTTTACAGAATCTAAGCCAAAATTCTTTCTTGCTTTCCATTAAAAGAAATCCCTCCTTTGAAGCCTGGCTTTTTACCAGAAATGTAACAGTGTCTCTTTGTTCAGTTACATTAGCTAATTTCCCTCCAGTAGCTTCATTTTCCCAAACACATTTACATCTGTGCACAGAGATTAATGTAATTGCTAGTTCCAAACCACCAAAGTAATCAATAATATTGACAAGAAGAATGCCTGGTTTGCCATCTGTTTGCTTCTGTTACAATTTCAAGAGACATCTTTAAGACTTTATGTATCAGTTGACAGCAATGTTTGCCTTCCGGTTCAACAGTTGCTTTGTCAATTTGAGGGAAGTAAAGGGGCAGACCTAATATAGAACATGAAATTTCCTAGGTTTAAGATATTGTCCACAGTATACATCTACCCAGTTGACTCCCTCTAGAAAATGTCAGTGACATTTTCAATTGGAATTCCATGAATTTTAGTTACTATTCTGAAAATGAAGATGAATTTCCCAAGTTTTGAACTATGCATAGTAATGAGTTTTGTGTACTTTTGCTTTATCCTACTGACCATATGAAAACAATGAGTTTTGTGTGACATAAATGTACTTTTGAAAAAAAATCTCATTTTTGTTTTTAAAATATCTTCTTAAATAACTACATTGTTGAATTATCAGCTGAAATTATCACCTTTTTTTGAAATTTTATTTCTAATAAATTAAATTCTCTACATTAGAATTGATCCCTGGTTTACATTAGCATGTGTTATAAAATTTTTTCTCTTTAAAAAATTCTATGTGCCATTCATTATTTTTCTTCATGACTATGGAATAATTAGATGTGTCTCATTTTTATTATTTATAATATGCATTAAATCTAATATATGATGATTTTAATCAATTCCTTTGCATATAAACATTATTTATAGAGAGATATATATAAAAATAACTTCTTTAGGGGAGCATGTTAAGATTTACATAAATTCCCATACAGTTCATATGTGTTTCTCAAAATACATATGCTTAAAATTATATTAAAATGAGGGAGTAGTTAGAATTTAGTATTTCCCATTTTATTTTGTCTTTATCTTCTTAAATATTTTTACTATTTTCAGCCAATATTCTATGCTAGAATATTTTCTTTTGAACTTTACAAAAATAAAAATAAAACAGAAGATTTTAAAGCTTATATTTAACATTATCAAATTAGTAGTTCTACTGGCAATTCAAAACAAAAATGTCATTATTTATTTGCGTTAGAAATGAGATAGGATTTTATGGATTAGAAAAACTACCTTGTTAGTAAGAAGTATTGTTACTACATTTACATTAAATAATTGAGGAAACTTTAACTCCAGTTTATTAAGTGACTTGCTTAAGGTCATTTGTGTATCAAGTAGTGAAACTGCAGCACAAATTTCATTCTTCTGGATCAAGATCCTGGAACTTTTCACCAATGCCATGAGGCTGCAGAAGAAAATTAAATGAATATAAATATAGCAGTGCCAGAGGTGGAAAAAAATTGCCTTCATTCTTAATAAACTTTATGTCAAATGTATCCTCTGCAGTTACCCATTTTAATATTAATTTTCTGTCCATCTACAGGACTGTGTTGTATGAATGTTGTCCTGGTTATATGAGAATGGAAGGAATGAAAGGCTGTCCAGCAGGTAAAAATCTAAATTTTCTGAGTGCATGAAGAACTTGTCTGGTGTAAGGAGACAGAATTGAGAGTTTTGTGGAGAAGACAGTTGTGTGCATGAGCATTTATGTGTGTCAATTTTGCACCAGCATAAATCCAAGAAATTTCTTCTATAAATCACGTATTTGTCATAATGATAAAATACTAGAACACTATTATACACTGGATGCTAGATAATACAATAAAAGCCTATTTTGAAGCCTTATTAAAGTATTTCAACTTTCCCTCAAGAATTTGATGCTTCGTGGAATGTATTCCTATTATTTAAAAGCATTAGGGTCCTTAGTGTAATGTTTAGAGGACTGTGAGATAATATTCTGGGAATAGTATCCTAAGTACTTATTCATTCCTTTATTCTTTCAGTTATGCCTATTGACCATGTTTACGGTACACTGGGTGTGGTAGGAGCCACCACAACACAGCATTATTCTGATGTCTCAAAACTCAGGGAAGAAATTGAAGGAAAGGGGTCATTCACGTACTTCGCACCGAGTAATGAGGCTTGGGACAACTTGGATTCTGTAATTCATCTTTTATTAATATATTTGTGGTGTGCTATTGTTTCATTAACTTGAATATTAATAGAACTTTCTATCTTGCTACTGTGCATATATAAGAATATACAAAAGAATGAGTTATCAAGGGAAATAATGCATGTTCATACAACCATGAATGGATTTTCCCCAAAGACTCACAGAATAATTTATAAAATGGGAAAACAGGAATAAACTGATAGGACAATTATTATTATTGTATTTTACTCCTTTCCTCTTAAAAAATGTAATTTTAAATGACATATCTAAAACAAAGTTAAGAAACCTTGTTAAATTTGAAATCTATCATAAGCTATATTGCAGAGCTATACTTTTAGTCCTATTGTCATTTTTTGCTACATTATCTGTGCGGTTAGTTGCTTGAGTTACAGAGCTCTCTCTTACCTACCCCACATCTCAATGTCTTGTCCACTTCCTTTTGATAACTCTTCTTGTTATAATCATTACATTTTAATGTCACAAAATCTTCAGTGGTTCCTCACTGCCAGTTTCATTTACTGCTTAATCAGACATTAAAGTCCTATAATTATTGTACCAAATACCTTTCTGAAAATCTTTCTTTTTTTAAAATTTTTTTATTATTCATATGTGCATACAATGTTTGGGTCATTTCTCCCCCCTACCCCCACCCCCTCCCTTACCACCCACTCTGCCCCCTCCCTCTCCCCCCCACCCCCTCGATACCTGCAGAAACTATTTTGCCCTTATCTCTAATTTTGTTGAAGGGAGAGTATAAGCAATAATAGGAAGGAATAAGGGTTTTTGCTAGTTGAGATAAGGATAGCTATACAGGGAGTTGACTCATTAATTTCATGTGCATGTGTGTTACCTTATAGGTTAATTCTTTCTGATCTAACCTTTTCTCTAGTTCCTGGTCCCCTTCTTCTATTGGCCTCAGTTGCTTTTAAGGTATCTGCTTTAGTTTCTTCTGTGTTGAGGGCAACAAATGCTAGCTAATTTTTTAGGTGTCTTACCTATCCTCATACCTCCCTTGTGTGTTCTCGCTTTTGTCTTGTGATCAAAGTTCAATCCCCTTGTTGTGTTTGCCCTTGATCTAATGTCCACATATGAGGGAGAACATACAATTTTTGGTCTTTTCTGCATAAAATTCCATTGTGATAGATACCCACATTTCTTGATCCATTCGTCAGTAGTGGGCATCTGGCTGTTTTCATAACTTGGCTATTGTGAATAGTGCTGCAATAAACATGGGTATGCAGGTGCCTCTGGAGTAACCTGTGTCACAGCCTTTTGGGTTATCCCAAGAGTGGTATTGCTGATCAAATCATAGATTAATGTTTAGCTTTTTAAGTAGCCTCCAAATTTCCTTTTCCAGAGTGGGTTATACTAGTTTACATTCACCCAGATAGTGTAAGAGGTTCTTTTTCCCCCGCATCCTCACCAACACCTGTTGTTGGTGGTTTGCTAATGATGGCTATTCTAACAGGGGTGAGGGAATCTTAGTGTGGTTTGAATTTGCATTTCCTTTATTGCTAGAGATGGTGAGTTTTTTTCATGTGTTTTTTGTCCATTGAATTTCTTCTTTTGAGAAAGTTTCTGTTTAGTTCACTTGCCCATTTCTTTATTGGTTCATTAGTTTTGGGAGAATTTAGTTTTTTTAAGTTCCCTATATATTCTCGTTATCAGTCCTTTGTCTGATGTGTAGCTGGCAAATATTTTCTCCCACTCTGTGGGTATTCTCTTAAGTTTAGAGACCATTTCTTTTGTTGAGCAGAAGCTTTTCAGTTTTATGAAGTCCCATTTATCTATGCTATTTCTTAGTTGCTGTATTGCTGGGGTTCCATTGAGAAAGTTCTTACCTACACCTACTAACTCCAGAGTGTTTCCTACTCTTTCCTGTATCAAATTTAGAGTTTGTGGTCTGATATTAAGATCCTTGATCCATTTTGAGTTAATCTTGGTATAGGGTGATATACATGGATCTAGTTTCAGTTTTTTGCAGACTGCTAACCAGTTTTCCCAGCAGTTTTTGTTGAAGAGACTGTTTTTTCTTCATTGTGTAGTTTTAGCTCCTTTGTCAAAGACAAGTTCGTTATAGTTGTGTGGCTTCATATCTGGGTCAGAGGAGATTCTGTTCCACTGGTCTTCATGTCTGTTTTTGTGCCAGTACCATGCTGTTTTTATTGTTATTGCTTTGTAATATAGTTTGAAGTCAGGTATCGTGATACCTCCAGCATTGTTCTTTGACTGTGTATTGCCTTGGCTATTCGTGGCTCTTGTGTTTCCATATAATTTCACAGTAGATTTTTCAATCTCTTTAATGAATGCATTGGAATTTTGATGGGAATTGCCATTAAACATGTAGATTACTTTGGGGAGTATCGACATTTTTACTAATTGCATAAACATGTAGATTACTTTGGGAGTATCGACATTTTTTACTATGTTGATTCTACCCAATCCATGAGCATGGAGATCTCTCACTTTCTATGGTCTTCCTCAATCCTCTACAGTTCCTTGAGGTCTTCACATCCTTTGTTAAGGTTTACATCTAGATATTTAATTTTTTTTGAGGCAATATAAATGGAATTGTTTCACATATTCTTTCTCAGTTGTTCATTATTAGTTATAGAAATGCTAATGATTTTTCTATGTTGATTTTATATCCTGTACCTGTTGCTATAGCTATTGATGGTGTCTAGGAGCTTTTGAGTAGAATTTTTTGGGTCTTTAAGGTATAGGATCATATCATCTGCAAATAGGGATATTTTGACACTTTCTTTACCTACTTGTATTCCTTTTATTCCTTCTTCTTGCCTAATTGCTCTGGCTAAAAATACCAGTACTATGTTGAATTGGAGTGGAGATAGTGGGCATCCTTGTCTTGTTTCTGATTTTAGAGGGAATGATTTCAGTTTTTCTCTGTTAAGTATAATGCTGGCCATAGGTTTGTCGTATATAGCTTTTATAATGTTGAGGTACTTTCCTTCTATTCCTAGTTCTGAAAATCTTTCTTAATATCATCTGAGAAACATAAAAGTAGGTATTGACACAGCCTACATTGCCTTCTCAACTATTGCCCTATGTCATTCACTGGACTCCGAAAGATACCCCAGCATTCCTATCCATTTACATCTCCTCTACTCTTGCATGTTTATCTCCAAATCACTTTAAGAATATCTGACATTCATCCATTGACCTCTAAAAGCATTTTTTTCTTCCTACTACCCTATATCTTACTATATTTCCATTCACCTCCTGCTATAAGTACTGTAATTGTTGAGATTTCACCTTATTTACTACTGAATTTCCTGGAACATCATGTGTAGCATAATATAATATGTGGTATTGGGACATTAAAAGGCACTGGTGGTTGAATTCTTGAATGTGTTATGGAATAAGCATAAAATTCTTCTTAAACTAAAGTGTTTATGCAATTATGTAAGTTTAATTTTTTCCCACTTAAAATATTTAGTTATCTGATAATGTCTAATCACACTAAGTCTTAAACTTACATCAAGATTGTCTATTCATCAATATATTCACTTAAAATTATGTTTTGTCTCTAAAAATATCCAAGTACTCCTATCATATTCAAGACACTTAACTAAAGTTCTTGAATTTATAAAGTTTCTTATTTAGGTGAAATAGTTATTTTTTAATCAATTTTATATTATCAACTGATAATGCAATAAGACAGTAGCAAGAGTAGAAATAGGATAATCAAGACAACTTCAAAAAGTGAACGACAATAAAATGAACTTCAATTTCAATTTTTCCTAGGATATCCGTAGAGGTTTGGAGAACAATGTAAATGTTGAATTACTGAATGCTTTACACAGCCACATGGTTAATAAGAGACTGTTGACCAAGGATTTAAAACATGGCATGGTTATTCCTTCAATGTACAACAATTTGGGGCTTTTCATTAATCATTATCCTAACGGGGTAAGTTTGATTTACAAAACAAACATTTCTGAGTGGTGTCATCCTTAATGTTATCGGTACCTTTCCTGTAATCTATACATAAATGATAAGTTAATATAACATAAGTGCTTATATCATGACTTTCTCCCAAATCTAGGACAAGTACATTTTCAATCTGATTACTAGTTCTACTAAAGATTGTGAATGATAAATTACATTTTTAGTTCATTGACAGTAGATCTACATACTCTATAAAAGTGAAACTTAGTAGCTGGTGGATTTTAAATAATTTTTATAGATAAAAAAGGATAATCAGAGAATGAATGTTCTTTTACTCACTCTCCGGCTACTATACTGATTGAAGTTCTTGTGTGTTTAGATAAGACTGTGGTAAATTGCCAACAGGGTCATAGGATTCTTTCAAAAGTCATATTCCCAGGGATAAAAATGTCAGTGATGAAGCAATACTTAGGATGTCATCACAATAAAACTAATTATACTTTTACAATAATTTTTTTCTCTGGAACTTATTTTATAGCTAATCAGAATTCTTTTTTTAATTTTATTTTTGGGTGGTACTAGGGCTTAAACTCAGGATTGCTAGGCAGGTGCTCTTACATTTGAGCTAGGTCTCCAGCCATTTTTGCTTTGGTTATTTTGTAGATGGGTCTCTTATTTTTTTGATGGTACTAGGGTTTGAACTCAGAGCCTCACACTTTCTAGGCAGGCACTCTACTACTTTAGCCACTCTATCAGCCCATTTTTGTGTTGGGTATTTTCGAGATAAGGTCTCACAAATTATTTGCCAGCCTGACTTAAACCACCATGATCCTCCTAATCTGTTCCTCCTGAGTGGCTCAGATTACAGGCATGAGCCACTGGCACCCAGCCAAGGTCTTGTGTTTGCCCAGGCTCAGCTAGACCACAGAGCTTAATTTTACACTTCCTGCCATTGCTGGGATGACAGGCACAGGCCACCATTTATAGCTATAAATTGACATGGGTTCTTGCTAACTTTTTGCCTGTGCTGGCCTGGAACAGTGCTCCTTAAGATCTCAGCCTCTCAAGTAGCTAAGACTACAGGTGCAAGCCACCAGCCACCAGCTCCCAAAATAATTCTTTATATAATCCATTGATATACATTAGGAATAATTTATGACTTTAAAAAGAAAATTAAAAACAAAAACAATAATTCAAATGAAAAATGCTTTTGCCTTGTTTTCAGATATGCTATGTGTATGTAACTAACTTGGGTTCTGAGCTTCGTTCTGTTTTCTCTTGTGGTTTGTTTTTAGATGCAGTAATGTGTAAATCTTAATCTACAGCATTTACATTCAGAACGTAGGTTCCTTCATCTTACACTTAGAATAAATGTAAAACTGGCAATGATTTTGCTGTCTCCATGATTAGTAGATAGCTCTGACTTTAGTACTTTGGTTTTCCCAAATAATTATAGGTTGTCACTGTTAACTGTGCTCGAGTCATCCATGGGAACCAGATTGCAACAAATGGTGTTGTACATGTCATTGACCGTGTCCTTACACAAATTGGTACCTCGATCCAAGATTTCATTGAAGTAGAAGATGAACTTTCATCTTTTAGAGTAAGTACAAAAGCTGATTCTCTTGGATCACAGAAATCTCTCTTCTTTCCTTGTCAAAATCTAAGAACAATAAAAATGCTACTAACTAAACCTGGAAGAAATGTAACCAATACATTTCATAAAATGACAGTTTTCATTTTACATGGGAGAAGTCATCTTATATGAAATAATTATATTTATGTGGACAGATTGATAATGAATGATTAATTATGTAACTATAGTATATTTAGTGCATTTAGAGTGTGTCTTTCTCAGTTATTGTATTTACTGCTAGATTATGTTATCATAATCTAGCAAACATTGGCAAAATTTCAAATAAACACAGTTTGAGAAAAATTGGAAAAGAATTAATTGGTTGTGCCAGAAAGTATTGTTTTAAAGATCTACTAAGAACAAACATCTATAATGAAGCAAGCTATCAACTCCCTCATGACTGACTGAGCTAAGTGTGCTATGATATTCTTCTGGATTTGCAATGTGTAATCCTCTGAAATCACATTTGTGTTTCAGGCAGCTGCCATCACATCTGACTTATTGGAATCCCTTGGAAGAGATGGTCACTTTACACTCTTTGCTCCTACAAATGAGGCTTTTGAGAAACTTCCACGAGGTGTCCTAGAACGGATCATGGGAGATAAAGTGGCTTCTGAAGGTAGTAAACTGTCTTCCTCTCTGAGAAGTCTCACAGAAATCTGGGAAGAAGAAAATTAAAGAGAGGCTAGTTCTTTCCAATAACATCAGCTCTAAGAAGAAACAGCAAAGAAAAAAAATATTCTGTGATACACTATAGCAATCATTTTTTATAGTCCTTGAAAAATTGGGCAAGGAATAATCCTTAAATAATAAGAACATCCTTAAGATTGCAACCTTTTGTGCTCTTTCCAAGTAAATAGATAGGTGAAGTGTGAAAAATACTATATCATCAAATTTTAATACTGCTGCAATGTGATTAATTATAAATTCATGCTAAATGATATAATTGAGTTGAGAAAATTTAATCATTCTCTTGGGAAACTACTTAACAAATTTTGTGTCTTTTCCAATATCCCTTCTATGGTCAAATAAATTTCACATTGTGCAAGCATGTTTCATATACTCAGCCTATTCCAAAATACATTTACCATTTTAAAAAGACAAATTTTTAAGTATGTCAATCTAGAAATTTTTGAGGCTGAGACCTCTTAAACTGCATTTCAAGAAATCTTTATTTGGGCTACTTTCTAGACGTTGTCTTTAGGGAATTATTCATCTTACCTTCTGCCCCTATCAACCTCCTTACAAATTATGCACAGATATTCTATTTGGAGTAGTTAATACAATATAGTACTTGGGGATTTTAGAATATGTGTCACTAACAGCTTCACACACCTTCTAAAAGGACTAACTTTTCTTGCTTTCACATGAGGAATTACTTCCTTATGACAGCTGGAACTGGATTACCACATTGCTAGTACTGCAAAAATTGATTCTAAAGTTAAATTTCTTCCTACTTCCTGCCAAGTTGAACTGTTTCTATTGTAGAATGATGGTGAAAAAACATTCCTAGAACACAAACAGTTAAGATTTTTAAATCTTTGGTCAATCCTTAGGGCTAACATATATGTTATATTTCTTAGGCATACTTAGTTCCACAAAGAAACACATTTTTACAGATCAAAATATATTTCCTTGATGTGAAATCTTGATTTTTTTCATTTGTCCACCAGCTCTCATGAAGTACCACATTTTAAATACTCTCCAATGTTCTGAGGCTATTACGGGAGGAGCTGTATTTGAGACCATGGAAGGAAATACAATTGAGATAGGATGTGAAGGTGATAGCATCACAGTAAATGGAATCAAAATGGTGAACAAAAAAGACATTGTGACAAAGAATGGTGTGATTCATTTGATTGACGAGGTCCTCGTTCCAGATTCTGGTGAGCAATGGTTTCATAATTTTTGCTAACTTTTTTTTCTTTTTACCAATTATGGTGTCCAAGAGTAAGTCTATGATAAATAAATGTGCAGTACAAAGAATGGCATGTGAAGAACAAACACAAAGGGAACAGTGAGCTAGCTGAGTAATAAGTAGGAGTCCTGTGTAGTTAAGGCATTCCATGCACAGACTTTGCCTAACATCAAATATTTATAAAGGTTCTCACAGTGTCAGAGTTTTTCTTGGCAACAAAAGGATAAATGGAGAAAGCTGTGACATTCACAAGGGCAGAAAGAAATGAAAGGTGAGAGCAACAGATAATTAAAACTTGTAGTAGAAAGATAAGAAAGTTTGCTTCTTAAATTCTTTGTGGTTATCAAACTTCCTAAGTGGAAACTGGAAATCTTCTCATAAGGGAAGTTCAGGATATCTTACTAACTTGACATTGCAGTAAATAGATTATAATATTAGAAGAAACCACAAATTAATTTACTAATTCCCTGATGAAGATAATAAAAATGATGAAATTGTTGAGATGGTGATGGTTTATTTTGCAGCCAAACAAGTCATGGAGCTGGCTGGAAAACAGCAAACCACTTTCACAGACCTTGTGGCCCAGTTAGGCTTGGCATCTTCTCTGAAACCAGATGGAGAATACACTTTATTGGCACCTGTGAACAATGCATTTTCTGGTATGTACTGGACACTGTTGCTCCTGCTCTCCCCACAAGAGACCTTTGTTTCTTCTCCATGATTATTTTCAAAAAGAAATAATAGATGTTTGACAAAGTGTTGATTAGTTTCTGCATTGGGTACACATATAATGTGTTACTATTACATAGTTGTTACTAAAATATCCTTCATTTCAAAACATGGTACTATTTTTTTCTTTTATTGTTGTGCTGGGTGGGGGTACATTGTGGTATTTACAAAGGTTCTTACAATGTATCAAACACATCTCCATGGCTCCCTTAAAAAAGATGATAGTGTACAGGGAATGGAAGTTTGTCATAAGGAATACTCAGTTATTCTGTGAATCTAGTATTTACAGCACACATAAGTATGCATTAATATACCTTAAGAAAAATAAATCTTATTATTTATTTGATGTCAAAATAATAATATTTAGAGATCAATAGGTATATGTTGCACCCCAGTTATAATTTGACACTGGTCAAATTATAAATAAATAAATAAATAAATAATAAAGCAAAAGGCTACTATTCCATTTTATGATGTGAAATATTATGTTTTTCACCTAGTAGTTGCTATTATTAAAAATGTTTAGATTAATGCAAATTGACATTTTCCAAAAAAAATGATTCCATAAGAAAATATTTCAATTGTTAGATAAAACTTACTAAGTTTAAAAATCACATATTTTTGTTTTTCCAAGTACTGAATTGTAACATAGAAAATTATTAATTAAAAAAATTCAGATTTGTAGAAATACTGTTTGTCTTCCTTGTAATAATGATGCCCATATGTTTTGACATTAACCTACATTTACAAGGCTATATGACTTGATTCTTTTTCCAATAATAAGATGAATTTGTAAATGATTGACAAATAGTCATTCTTAGGCCTAATAGACTTCTGATTGTCAGAAAAAAACTTTGCCCACTATAAGCATTATTTCCCAATGACCAGTAGAAAGTATGGAACCCTTACAGAGATGAAGCTTATTGTCTGAACTGCATAACGCCATGTTATAATAATTTTATGCCATAGGTCGCAGTTTCTAATTGGTGAATCAAATTGCTGGCTTTGATCATTTAGCTGACTCAAATATTGTATTTGATCCATATCAATAGTGTTAGGTTTTATCCGTTTTCATTTTTTTTCTCTTACCAGGAAATACAAATATTTTCCATGTAAAATAATGCTCTTTCTTAATGAATTTATCATAGATGATACTTTGAGTATGGATCAGCGCCTTCTTAAATTAATTCTGCAGAATCACATATTGAAAGTAAAAGTTGGCCTTAGTGATCTCTACAATGGGCAGATACTAGAGACCATTGGAGGCAAGCAGCTCAGAGTCTTCGTTTACCGTACAGTAAGTGAATCAGAAAAAGATCAAACATTCACATTGACATAAATGTCACATGGCATGCACTTGTCAAAGAATTGCCACAACAAATGCTTCCCAGAATTTTTTACAAAGTGATTTTAATAGCCAATACTCAGAGGAAGATCAGGAAAGGGTGTGGCTTGGGTGAAAAACTGAAAAATGTATATCAAAATTGCTATGTATTATTAAGTCAGATAACCTGCATTTATTTCATTAAATTAGTATGTTCTAAAGTACTAATTATTTTAATTCTATTCTAGAAAGCACTAAAAGCCCTCTAAAATAAACTTTTGATTTGTAGAGTACATTATGCCTTACAAAATACTTTTTATAGAGAGTCAAATGATGAGTTTTTTTGTAATGTGAACCATTCAATAAAGGAATTGTTTTTGAATGACTTTAAAGTTATATTTTTATAGGCACATAGATATTTTTGGATTATATAAGATGACTATAAAGTACTTTCAGCAAGAAATTTCAAGAAATATTGCTTATCAAAATTACAGTGCAACCAGTTGTACTAATTCAGTTTCTGTCCACAGAACAAACTCAGCTATATCTAAAAGATTTCACAAGAAGGCAAGCATTGCCTGGAACTGTTAAACAGTACACAGTGGCCACTCATTCAGTATAGCACAATTCTAAGGCACATGTTTTTAAGTAATGCAGTAAATGAACTTCAAATTTAAATTATACATATACACATATTGCTTTTATTCAAAAACTGCAAATGAATAAAAAATTTTACTTTGAATTGATTTGGTTTAACAATCAAGAAAATATAGTAAACATTTGTGAAGATTACAAGAGGCACTGAAGTCAAGAAACTGTATATGTAATATTGACCTAAACAAAGGAAAAATGTGAAGTAGAATTCTTGGAACTTTAGTAACTTAGTGATAAGACTCCAGACCTGACAGGTAGGGGTAGTTTAACTACTAGTAGAAAACCTGATAGAATGAGAAGGATTTAATCAGATGGTGCCAGACGTTGAAAATGGAGAAGAGAAGCTGTTTCCTTTTACCTCTGAAGGGCCAATCCAGAAATCAATCAGCTACCTTCAATAGGAAATTTCAAGCAAAGAAAAAGAAATCATTTATCATTCCTGATTTTGTAGGCTGTCTGCATTGAAAATTCATGCATGGTCAGGGGAAGCAAGCAAGGAAGAAATGGTGCTATTCATATATTCCGAGAAATTATCCAACCAGCCGAGAAATCCCTTCATGAAAAGCTAAAACAAGATAAGCGCTTTAGGTAAGCTTACTAGCAGCATCTTCACAATGAAATGAGAGCTATTGACATATTTATGTCTCACAGTTACTATCCCAAAAGGCACTCAATTTCTAGTAATGATAAAAATAAACTTTAAAATAAGAAATCCATACAAATGTTTTTAAAGTTGTTACATTTTCAGTGCTATTTGATTTGCTTTCTGAGACACCATATATTTCAGTCTAACAGATGAAACTACTTCATGCAAATTTTCTTAAAATGGGGTTTTTTAAAAATGGTAATATTAACAGACTGACTATTTGATAGAATAGTAAATAAGAAAATTGCCTCTATTTCATTATAAAGTGTGAACTTGTCAAGTTTTAGACAAAAACAGAGATGAAAAAATTTAAAGTATATTATATATTTAAATCATTTCCCAGGATAAAACTTTCTTAACAAGTAAGTTGTACCTAAAACATGAAAATGTTTGAGGAGGTTTCTCATTTTTTCCCACAAAACATGGATTCTTTTCTACTCTATGCATGTGGTTTTAGATACCCAAATCTAAAGCTAATAAAATTAAGCTACCTTCTTCTTGCTTAGTGTCTTCCTCAGCCTACTTGAAGCTGCAGATATGAAAGATCTGCTGACACAACCTGGAGACTGGACCTTATTTGCACCAACCAATGATGCCTTCAAGGGAATGACAAATGAAGAAAAAGAAGTTCTGATTAGTGAGTAGAAGTGAATGCTAGATATTTGCTCCTTGATTTCAGGATCTCAGTTCTTCCTCAAACTTTCCTACCCAGATGTCAGCCTAAAATGGTCCCTTCTCCCACACTTTTGGCAAGCTTCAGTTTCCTTTAATTCCACTTGGGATGTGTGAAGGGTCAGTCATTAACATTTGTTCATACATTTCTTTCTCTCATGTTGTTGTTTATTGAAAGATATACAAATACATGGCAGAAAAGGAAAAAAGTCATAATTTTAAAACTAACTTGGGCTTTTTTCTCTTAGTGAGTATGGTCATATTTTTATTGATTTCATTGAAATGAATGAATGTTTTGATATAGCATTTGTATCATTTGTATCACCTTCAGAAAACAATGACATTATGGGAAAATAGTGTGGAGAATAATGACAAGGAAATGGTTTGTTCCTTAGTACTTGTACTGCCAAATGTCATCAAATAAAACATATTATTAAATAATTATATATTATTTCCCCTAGGGGACAAAAATGCTCTTCAAAACATCATCCTTTACCACTTGACACCAGGAGTTTACATCGGAAAAGGATTTGAACCTGGTGTTACTAACATTCTAAAGACCACACAAGGAAGCAAAATCTATCTGAAAGGAGTAAGTTGGCTAGAATGAGTTTATGAAAGTAATCATCCATCATTAAGTTATCTTAATGTCCATTCTTCATTAAATTTCACATTGGCATTTCCCCATATTTCCATAGGTAAATGAAACACTTCTGGTGAATGAACTGAAATCCAAAGAATCTGACATCATGACAACAAATGGTGTCATTCATGTTGTTGATAAACTGCTCTATCCTGCAGGTTGGTAATTATTGAACATATGGATAGATTAAGACTTTTTCAATATAAATCTAGGTCTTTATTTCACATTTTCTTGCTAACATTCATTTAATATTCCTCTTCATAGACATACCTGTTGGAAATGATCGGCTGCTGGAAATACTTAATAAATTAATCAAATACATCCAAATTAAGGTAAGGAATGGCATAAGATTTATTTCTAATATGTTGAACAGATATTGTGGGTTTAAAATAAGAGACTAGAAATGGATACATTAAGTAAATATACACTGGGCTTTGATTGTTCTTTGTTGCTTATGCATCACTGGCCCACCAATAAAGAAATGACTATCTCTTCATGGTTTTGATCAACAAATATCTTTCAAAGCTACTTGGGGTAAAGTAGTATATCAGTGTCATGGGAAATTTAAGTATAATTGGATATTATCTTAATTCAAAATGTTTACAGTCCTGTTAGAGAGATAAGACATACTTAAATAATTACAACAGTTATGCCATCAAGGCTATATCACCAAATATCCTTCCTACTAAATATGATAGAAAGATAAGAAATTTACTTATTATGTCAACTTTGATCGAATGTACTATAATTCCAGAACTCCAGAGGCTGAGGCAGGAAGATTGCAAGTTTGAGACCCTGTTTCAAAAATAAATAAAAGGAATTTACTCATATACAATGTCATTAATCACAAGTTAAGTCAAAAGAATATTTTTCATCTTTCCCCTTATAGAGTCAAAGTAGCAGAAAACATGAAATCATCTTTAATAAATATACTTAAGTTTGAATTAATTACTCTGTAATTTTATAATGCTGAGTAATAAATCCAATGATTTTATGACATCTGGTATGACAGCAGGGAATTAGGACATGACTTAGATGAGGACTTCATTTCTATTAAGAGCAATGAGAACTTAACAATTTTTATATTGGTAAAAATTAAAGTGGTGCCATGGTTTTGTTTATACAGCCATTACATTTCATGTTACTAAACATAAACCTTTATTTTCAGTTTGTTCGTGGTAGCACTTTCAAAGAAATTCCCATGACTGTCTATAGTAAGTATATGATGAATATCGACTACACATAAGTAACAAGATACAAAACCAAAAACATTAATTTTCTTTGAATTGACAAACAGACTATTGATAATCTGGTATTTAGAATTCCAGACATTGGTAAATCTCATTCTCTTTGAAATGGGGCTCAAGGTTTAGGAGAGACCTTTTGGCCTTGACCATACCCTTCAATTCCACTTTCCTGTTAGTGGAAAAATGAGAGTGATAGGATGTGAGACAGTAAAATAAAACCCTAGTGTAAGAAACAGAAAAAGTTAAAAGTACAAAACAAAAGGAAACATAGCTAAAAGACATTCAAGAGCTATCTGAAAATTCAAATGTGTGGACATAGAAACAACATTGCCAAAGGACTTGTCACTCATTCTCCTATCAAGTCCTGAGCTATAGGAAGGTGTGCCAAAAAATCCCAATGTTTGTGAGGTGGCAATCCAGACACTCTCCCCATCCATAATTGGACAAAGAAACACAAAATCCTCTAGGTGATAAACCTAAGGTTTTTAGATTCCAAGGTTATTTCATCCCTGACACTACCAGATTATCAAAGTTAAACTCTACTACTTAATAAGTGTAATGGGTATTTTATTCTCATAAATGTCAGTCATAGGACATCTTTTTTATTGTAACTTTATCTTCCTTTGTCTTTTTTCTTTCTTTCATTGTATCATTCAAAGCAAAAATTCTTTTCATTTTGTTTTGGCTCTACAATTAAACCCTAAAAATATATCAGTAGCTAAAACATTACTTCAATTCTTACATTTATTCTGGCTAGAAAATTATTTTATTTTAGATCATGAATATCCAGTTATTTAAGTGATAGCATTCTCCTTAAGATTTACACAGATATGGAAAAGGAGCAAAACCAGCATAAGGAGCAAAACAAAATGTCTGTTTCTCTTATGAATTTAAACTATGTGATGATAATATATAAATTTCCATTATCAGCCTAGCTCAGCATGGTCTTAAGGATTTAATTAATATAGTGATTTAGCCTGGGAATACATAATTTTATTAAAAATATATTTTACAATAAATGAAATGATCCTAATGGGCTCTATTCATCAGACATGTTATGTCATCTTTCTCCACCAAAGGTATATACACATTTCTTTATCTTTCATACTATATCCATGTCAGTTCTACCATTTTCCACACATGACACAGCTAAACATCTCAGAAGATGAGATACCCATGTTGTGCTATCATCTCAACTCTAAGGTGTCAGCATTGTGTTGTGATTGCACAGTCAGCTTTAGTGCAGCTCTTCATTTAATGGTATTAGCTTTAAAGGCTTCTAATTAGAAATTTTTAAAAAACAGCAGCTCTATTGGCATAGTTTCAGTGACACATTTTCTTCCAGCTAACCTGTACAACTAGTCAACCAACTGTTATTTTTAATGAATTTTGTACTTTATTATCTCACTTGAGTAGATTATACACATTTTATATGTCATCATTCATTTAAAATATGTCACCATTTAAATGAAGAAAAATAATGATTATGATGAATCTGGAAATTAAATACCTTTTAAACTTGAAATTAAATGCTGACCATATCATATTTGTTGCATAGAGCTCATGTCTGACTGGTTGAAATTAACTGTTACCTTTAAATATTTTGAACTCTTCTTCATATTTTCCTTTCTCTGTACTATTATCAAATGCATGGAAACATTTTAAACATCTTTTTTCTTTCAATGTCCTTTTAATTGAGAAAGAATCAACAATGCAATTTAAGGTATTATGGAATTAATCATGTTTATTTGTCTTCTGTTGCTATGCAGCCAGTATTTTCAAGAAGTACAAAAGAAGGTAAAAAGCTTTAGGGGTACAGTTCAAAAAGTTAGATTTCTAGATAGAATTCCTAATTTAGTGAGTATTGATTTCACTGGAACAAATCCAAGTCACTGGACTTCAGAGTTCTACATCTGGACATAAGAAGATATTAATTATGTACTGTGATTATTTCCTGTATCTGACTGCCTGAGCATATTACCATATCTGATAACTTAGTGCCCTTCAAAAGAAAAAGAAAAACTTTTTTCATGTTGCTTTATGTAAATATCATTCATATTCAACTTTCTATACTTTCAGCAACTAAAATTATAACCAAAGTTGTGGAACCAAAAATTAAAGTGATTCAAGGTAGTCTTCAGCCTATTATCAAAACTGAAGGTAAAAAAAAAATCAATGCTATACATGGTTCCTTTTATTTTGAAAAAGAATCACATAATATACTGATTTCTATGAATGTATCTACATTCTTTTTGAAACTAACATGCTAAATATTTCTATACCAGTAGCATGCTCTTTTAATTAGAGAATGTAGAGTGCAAATTATTTAGCAAAGTAGATGGTGCATCCCTAATACTTTCAGTACATTTGCTTGTATTTGATTTCACACTAATTTGATTGATGTTATATTAGCACTGGTACCCAGATACTCACTAAACAAATAAATCTTAACATTTTTACTGTAGTTAGATTCTTTCAGGGAGTGTGGAGTTTTGTAGTTTTGTTCCCAGTCCCTCCACGTGATATATTTTGTACCATTATAAAAAACTTGCTCAAAAAAGTGTTCAGGAATTTCCCATTTGGCAGAGCATAGAAAACATACAGCAAAGGAAATATCCAAAAGTTCGACCAGTTATGGTCGTAATGTGATGGTGTACATTGGAATTTTAAGATAAGCAAACACAGATAAGATTGTTAAAATTAGATCTCCGGAAACAGAAAAGGAGATGTCTTTGTTCAGTGAGTTAATCATTAGAATCCTAAATTCCAGACCTCCACCTATTTTATGTACATATATAAGTTCTCTCTTCATGTTTCAGACTCAGTAAGCAGTCACTTTTCCTCTACACTTACTGTGTAGGTGGACTATCTTCAACATCTCTAACATTACCTTCATTCCATATACCTTAATTATCTCCATGGATCAATCTTTAAGCATTTCTTATTTCTATATTTAAGTATCTTGATGTATTAAGTTACCACATAGAACAGACCTGGTTGTCTTTTTTATTTTATAAAAATATAGAAACTCTTACAAAAAAATAGATTGTCCCTTTTGATTGAATTTCATGAAGACTATTGCTGTAAACATCTTTGATTTTTCTATTTCTTCTCCTTCTGTGGACTGAGATGGCAGTTCTTCCCATATACTTGTCTATTTCTTTTAAAGTGAGTCATGTCTTAAAATTGAGTCATTGAAAATACATGTAAAGATGGATTTCCTGATTAACAATCTATACTATAATTCACTCTCGATAACTAAAATTGTGTTATTCTTTGAAATCTGTGCTTAGTTTTATTTTAAATACAATACATCTAGTTATTTCATTGTGTTTACATGTTGATGAAGAGAATTTGGAGTTTTAAGAAGAAATTAAATCACAGGAATTTTTGTTGAGAAGTATTTCTTCATCATCTTAATGAAAAATGACCAAAAGAATCTTGGTAATGCCATTGTTTTTAAAACTCAGATTCCCAAATTTCAGTACAACTAATACACAGCTTCCATTTGAAATCTTTCAAATGCTCCATTGTAATTATTTTTGGAGTACTTTCCATTCTTTCAAGTTTTTTATCCAACCCACTTATGGCTCCCAATCTTTGTCAGCAGAAGTCTATTCTATTATTCTTTCTTCAGTTAGGAGCACAGTGGGGCAACAACTTTACCTGGACTCTTCCTATAAAGGAACATGGATAAAAAATGTGATCGTGTCACCTATTCATTAACAACTCTTCAAAGCTTTGTCAGTTTTACCTCTAGTAACATAGCAAAGGAAACTAATATTCATCTTTGCACACACAATTGTCATCTCCTAAGACTCCTACTCAAATTTCCTTCCAACTGTTTGCACTTTATGAATTAATTGAAGATTTTTAAGTCTTACTAAGTGCATTAAACTATAACACATAATTTTAAGATTTTTTTCAAAAAGTACTTAAGCAAATTTTAGAATTTGGAATAGATCATCTGAAATGCAATTCAATGAATAGTTATAAAACACCTGTTGTGGTGGTTATTCTCCTAGATGCCATGAATAAACACCAAATATGGTAAAATTTCTGCCTTCTTAGAGTTTAATTATACAAAATATTTCTGAAATTTCAGTTTGGCTTTTCTAAAGAAAAATCATTTATTATAGTAGCTCATTTCTTTATCTAAAACTTCCTAGTCATGCTTTCTTTTTGAGATTTCTCACCTTAAAAACTTCACCTCATGTTGTATATTCAATATCTACTCACCTCATAGATAAAATATTATGGCCTTAAATATTTAAGACTTGAAAGAATTGTAGTCTGTTTTCATTATTTTAGATGATTTTATTTAATTCTGGGTAATGGTGCACATTGACCATGGATAAGCAAATAAATTCTCTCAAAGATAAGCAAATACAGCTATCTTCAACTATTGAAAGGTATTACAGTATGAGTTAAATGTACTGAAGCTAATTTGTCTTACTCCTCTACAAAATATTCTTGATTAACTGATGTAGTAGTAAGCTTCCTAACATTCAAAATGATTTTCTCTAGAAGCAAAATCATTTTGCAAGTCAAATGCAACACTTGTTTAACTTTGCATTTGAAGGACTGTATAAGTATTAATTAGTTAATTTTTCATAATTTTCATATACAAGGTAAGTACTCAAGTCCATGTTCCCTTAAAACCCAAAACTCAGCAACTTAAAGGTAAGTATTGGGATTTTTCTTATTTTCAGTCCTATGTTCATTAAATCAAAAGGTAAGGTCCCAAGTGATTAAAAACTTGAGTGAATATTTTAATAAGGAAAGAGTATTAGTTGATATCAATATGGCAAACTTTTTAAGATCTAAACTATTCAATATTAGAACAACTTAAATTTGTATATATCATATGATTCACATAAAGTAGTCATTTGCAATACTTTTATGTAACCGTATTTTACAACCACTAGTGAATGGGTGGATTTATCAACACTTTAATGTTAAAATAGATGAAAGTAGTTGTGTAGTATGCCAATTTGTTTTTATGACTACCGACTAATTAAAACACAACGAGAAATATTTAAAACTGATTTCATAAAGTTTGAAATACTTTGATGTTTGAGTAACACCAAATGTTGAAATCAATTTCCTGTTCTGGTAAACTTAAAGGACTGCTTTAACACAATAATTTGTCTCCTAAAACAATGTCTCAGGACCTGCAACGACGATTCAAATTGAAGGCGAGCCTGAGTTCAGACTGATTAAAGAAGGTGAAACAGAAACCAAAGTGATCCATGGAGGTGCATTTCTTGTTTTTCCTGGTACCTAGGTAGCATCACAATGACAACTTTAAAATGGTGTTGGTTTGGAATTATTGGATATCTAAATTTTTATCTTGGTTTTGATTTTATATACATTGAGGGAGTCATTTTATATGCTATGGGTTCTTACTAACCAGTTAGAGATAAAATATAGTTTACCTTTAGTAGATCCTGTTAAAATTAATGTAACCATTAAGTCCCCAGACCCAATCAAAGTGTCATTGCTTCTGCATATGTAAATGATTATGAAATATAATGATTAAAATAATATGAATGCAAAAGGACACATTTGACTCACAAGTAGAAAGGGGACATGGCCTTTGTATGACTGTAATAAGTCATTAGTAGGTTTGATTGTAGGATTCCCTTTCCAGTAATGGAAAACCGTCTTGCCAGCTGGCCCTCTCCCATGCCTCAGATTCGAGATATAACTATTACCTTTTAGAACTCTTTTGATCTGGATTCATTTGTGATATGCTCCAACGATAACTGAGTGAATTTTAAATTGTAATGTTTTGAAAAATATATTCCATTATTAAAATGTTTAGCTTATGGAAGTACAGGCACCATATAAGGTATATATTTTTTTTATTCCCCTACTTTCAGAGCCAATTATTAAAAAGTACACCAAAATCATTGATGGTGTGCCTGTGGAAATAACTGAAAAACAGACACGGGAAGAACGAATCATTACAGGTAAATTTTAATTCCATACATGGAACTGTAGTTGCAGTTTAAATGAAAGTTAATCCTAAAATATCTCTGAAAGGATCATTAGAGAAACTAAGTCATTTTCATGGTAGCTACAAAAGTTACTTCATTTCCATTTTTGGCAAAAATAATATTATTCTAAAATAGTTAATCTATGTTTTACTCTGAATTGGAAATTTGCTGACGTGTTTATAATCATGTATTTTTATTGTGTGTATGCATATGGACTGCATAATATACCAGCTTCTTTTTGCTGTTTTGCAATGAGTTATTTAATTCTAGAAGAAATAGCATTTCCTTCTTTGAGCTTCCATTAATCTTAAGGCCTGTACATCTACATTCCAAAATGCATACAAGTTTGTATAAAACAGTGGATTCATAATTTTAGCAAAACTTTCTGAATTAACATAAAATTCTAAAATCAGATATCGGTGTTTATTAGCTAGTGGTCATCAAATATGGTCTGTGGTTCACATTTTTGTAAGTAAGATTTTACAGAACAGAGGCATGTCCACTCATTTATGGAATATATATGGCTATTTTCAGAAAATAGTAATAGAACTGACTAGTTGTGATGCAGACCACATGGCCCACAAAGTAGTTTGCCCATCCCTGTTGTAGACCTTTTCTAATTGTCTTTTCATTAGGTCCTGAAATAAAATATACTAGGATTTCTGCTGGAGTTGGAGAAACAGAAGAAACTCTGAAGAAACTGTTTCAAGAAGGTCAGTATGCCTAGAAAAATAAGAATGTGACTTTAAGCGATATGTACATCTGTGCTATTCTTTAAGACCTTGTTGTATATAGTGTCTACTATATCTAGTTCCAATGTTCAAGTTCCATACCAACATTAGGGAAAAAGTCCAAAACATGGAAGGGAGCAACAATGATAGTCATATTGATTGGTTATTTATTGATTCACATCTTCATAAAAAATAGTATATGAAGTATCAACACTAAAACTGAGAAGGAACTGAGTGTTGGTCTGGAATTCTTTATGGGAAGATGTCAGTATTTATCACATTAAGCCTCTTATCTTTCTTGTTATATAAACCAATGTCTGCTATAAACATGTATCCTCTTAGAGGTCACCAAGGTCACCAAATTCATTGAAGGTGGTGGTGGTCATTTATTTGAAGACGAAGAAATTAAAAGACTGCTTCAGGGAGGTTAGTAAAAGGGAAAGACTAACCCCTTAACAGGTTCTGGTTGACTTCATCTGCTTTTTAAAGACTGACCCTGCAGGTTTTTCCTCGGTTATGTTAAAAAAGACAATACCAGTTGTCATCTTAACAAATCAAGTGGTTGGTTTATGTACTAGCTATCAAGAAATGATTGGTATTTATACAGTCTTTAAAAAGTTTAATGGTATAAACGTGGGGAGCAATGAATATTTTTTTGCTTTGATACAGATAATTGTGAGAATATTTTGAGGCTGAGAAAGGGGAATGATTTTTAAATTACTGTTATAAAACAATCTCAAATTTGACATACTTTTTATATTCTCAAAAAATTTATTCACTGCCCCCAGAACAACATGAAAGGCATGTTTTGGGATGTTTAAATACATAAATATAGCCAAAAATGCATTTAGCAACTTTCTTTTCCCAAACTATATTCTTGTGAATGAGTATCTGTTTCTTCTAACCATTTGAGTGATAATCTATATCTGGAAATGTAAATAATGTTGACTGTGAAAGTAATCCTTAAAGAATAGAATATTCTCCATCTATGGCATTAAATGGACCTATTTTCAAAAGCAAAAGAGAAAAAAAAGAATTCAAATATTACAGAAACTCTAAACAATAGTTAATCAAACAAATATTAAATGTTAATAAAATATCACTGGCATTTGAATAAATAAATTTGCAGTTCAATTTACTTACAATAAAGATATTAGACTCAAATTATGTTTAGAGAAACAAAATTAATATTTGTAGAAAAAAGTACACTTTTCACAATATCTGATGAATTGGGAAAGACAACTGAAATTTGATAACTCTCCAAAATATAGTCCAGTGGTTTTTCTGCTTATAATTTTAAAAATTATATCACTATGTCCAAGAAGATATAAATCCTTCTGAGACATTGTGTTTCTTCAAAATTATTTTCTGTATTTTTTATTTTATTATAGATAATATCTCTTATATCATGTTTCCAAACATGTAACAGTAAAAAATTGCTCAAGGAATGATTTTTTCTCAATAGAAGTACATATGTCTCAAAAACACAAATTTCCTTTCAAAACACAGTGAGTGTATGGCATATCCTAAAATCCTAAGCCATAATAAAACCAAATATTCTTAGAAGATCTAATACAGAGTTTATTAATCTATCCCCAAAAGCTTAACTCTGCTACAAAAACATAAAGGAATTTTTAGGAAATGGTGAATACATTATGCAAATTAAATTGAATTCTTTGTTTTTTACATTTTACTCCTTGCCTTAACAAGCAGCTTTGTAGAATGCCAGTGCTTTTTAGAGAATGAATTAATTAGTAGCTGTCCCAATTCATATTACTTTCATTCATTTAGGCTGAGCTATGACTTGAACCTAAGTTAGTTGACTGTTTTCTACTTTGTCTATTCTTCTGGAAAATGAGGACAGTAATGTTTCTACGTCTAAGTGAGTCTGCATATGAAAAACTCTTGGAATAACATTCACACATAGTGTGCATAGTACTGATAGTTGATGGGAAATATTGCTATCATTATCAGTGCTGATTAACATTTACAACATCAATAAAGTCATATTTTACACCCTACCGCAAATTTACAAAGTCATAGCCTTGTAGTAACACAAAATAGATAAAAATAGAAGTGAAATTTGCAAATAATTGGGATGAAATATTTTACATGTTTTAGAAAATGTGGTGGGGGAGGGTCATTTGTGCCAAATGATTAGGGTGACTGGCTTGTCGTCTCACATTTTATTTCTCTAAAAGTAACCTCATAGGACTCTCATTCATTTTGAAATTGCTGAGAACCACTAGAAGAAAACCTAGCTTATGCTCTTTCAGCACACTTTTCTTCTAAGGTGTTTGCCATGTTGAACTTAATATCGTAGAAAAATAGTGATAACTTGGCAAAACCTTGTTATCAGACGCTGCCAAACCCTGGAAGGAAATCTGAATGCACCTGCCTGCTTTGAAAAGTAATTTTGGAAACTCTTCATGACTCTGTTTTTCAGCTGCACAGTGAACTGCTGTATGAAATTTAATCAGCTCATTATTTATAGTGCTATTATTCACTAACTAAAGATTGGATCCATCTCATCTTAACAATATTTTATGATCAGTATTTTATTATCAAATAAACCTGGAATTAAGGAAAATATACTTGTATGAGAACATTCCATAATTCAAACTTTCCTTTCTCACATAGACTTTCCTCCATTCTATTCTAGTAAGGTTTTCTATTGTCCTGTATTTTACTATAGTATCGATATGATGTGGCAAATGGCTATATATCTTGTGGAAAAAAGACGTGGTGGCAATGTGCTAAGTTAGACAGGAAAAAAATTCATAATTTTTTAAAGAAAACTACTATTTTTCATTTGTTTGGTGTCAGATAAATGAAAACTTCTCTTAGTAATAATTCAATTACTTGCATTTTATGGGATATCAGAGAATTGAAAAAATATGTACATTAGAAAACTTTTGACATTATTGCTGAGTGTTGACAATATAGAAAACAAGAAGCCAAAACTTGGAGAAAAATGAAGGTGAGCAGAAAATGCAATCAAGTCACTGTAAGAATCAAGTTTATTCTTTGATCCCAAACACTCCCATAATAGAATGAAAATATAATTTTAGGTCTCTCATATAGTCTTGGTCAATGAATTAGGAGAAAAACATGGGAACTAAGAAATATTTTGCAACTATATGAAAATAAAACTGCATAGTTACAAAACACTTGTAGTTCTTAAATATGAAAGCTTTTATTGTCTTTAATTTTTGAAATGGTCTTACAGACTGGCAATTGATTGGGAAGAAGAGATGGTGGAACATTTTTCTTAAATTGCTTACCATGTTTCTAGAGAGATCCTGTTTTCCTCTTTTATAATAAAGCAATCATAAATTGATTTATGATGAGAATTTACAGAAGCATAGGTTATAAACAGGGATGGTTGCAAAGATGGATGGCTATTTCTAGAAAGATACGTATGCTAAACTTCATACATCTTTTCATCATGGTGCAATACTTTTTACTAAAAGATCAAAATTATATGTCATTTATTCTAGGCAAAAATGGCACATTATATGGGGCTCCAAAAGCCATAATGAAACATGTATTTTGCAATTAGTGAACAGTTATTTTGACATATGAGAAAAAATAACTGTTCTTTGTCAGAATACAATTCTAAAGACCATAACATTGACTGCTCCAAAAAGCATCTATATGTTCATGTTATAATTATTTAAAACTTCATACTTTTCTACTTAATTATGGTCTCCTGTCTGATTGTACCTATGATTTCAAAGTACCTAACTACTAATTTTTAATTTTAGACACACCTGTGAGGAAAATACAAGCCAACAAAAGGGTACAAGGTAAATGTATTGACAATAATGTGTGTAGATGGCATATCATGTGATAAGAGAAATCAAAGAAAGAATGCTTGAAATTGTTTATTGAACTTTGCTGTCTTTCAAGGAGAATAGTTAACTAGTTTTGATGCAAAGCATGTTGGTGATAAGTATCAGGAAATAAGTGACTCATTTTCTGTACTATTAGTAGGATTTAAGTATAGTAAATGTTGAAAGAAAGACAAATAAACTCATGTAAATGGTTAAACATATTGAACTATTGAGGTAAACTCAAGTAGAGCTAAGTCAAAAACACATACTTAAATATCAGAGCCAAGAGCCAGTAGACTTAACCATTAAAAATATTATGTGAAACAAGGCTACAATTTGAAACATAAGAAAATTAGAAACTGTGCATACAGAAAACTGTTAATATAACTATTTACAAATTTTTATGTACATTTATAGTTTATATACATATTTGTATATATCACATGTAACACATGCACTACAATTTTCTTCATAACTACAATTATGTGCATTTTCTAATTTTTCCTCTTAGGTTACTTTATATCCAAAAACATTGAATGAGCAAAGAATTTCTTTGTAGAGTCTCGAGTAATTACAAATTTGGAATTGCAAGTTTTTCATTCTTGAGATAATCACATATTAACAGTAAAGAGAAGTCACTAGACTTATAAATGCATTGTAGGAAAATCTGATTTTAAGCTAATCCAGTATACAGAACTTTGAAATGAAAGGGCTAATTATACAAATATTTTTAAGTAAAGGATTTACCAGGGATTGGTTCTAAAATTCAAAAACATTCAAAATTTCTAAAGAACTAAAATAATCAAATTTGAAATTATTATTTTGATACATCATTGGTCAAAACATAATCTCAGTCATGGTTACCATAAACTGAGGATTGTATATAAAAAACATAATCTAAATATAGCTTATTATAATAATAAATGATGACCTTTGATCAATAAACTTATGCACAGACTATTATGTCCTTAAACTCTGAAGTTTCATCATATTTACACTTATATTTCTCTTTTTCTAATCAGGATCTAGAAGACGATCAAGGGAAGGTCGCTCTCAGTGAAAATCCAAAAGCCGCACAACAAAGTTCATATAATCCTAAATCAACAACCTGACCTGAGGGAAAATCATGACAGACATGTTGACTTCAGAAACTTAAACACCAGCACAAAGAAACAAACCATCAAACAATCTAAACATACATTTTTTTTCTGAATGAGAAACAAAGAAAGTTGGAGTTAGCTTCTTATGGGATAGGAACTGAAGAAAATATAACACTTTTCAGGTTTTTCTTTTTTAATCTTGACATTAAAAGTTCTGGCCAATTTTGGAATCCGTCAAAGAAAGTTCCCATAACCTGAATCATTCTGAATCATTACAATTCAAATCTAAGAGTGGTGCTCTGCTATCTTGTTGAGAAAATTGAGCCTTGAACATAGGAGTAGAGAAACCAGAAGCTTCTCCATGGGAAGCTAAGTCATAAATAGGTGCTCAATATATAACAAGCCAATAAACACAACATTTTTTTTGCATCCAAAGGCTTTACATATTTCTAATACAATGTGGGTTTACTGGTAAATTATGTTATTTTTTACAAGTAATTTTATACTCTCAAAATGTTTGTCTTATGCTTCTTGCAACACATATTTTTAATCTCAAACATTTCAATAAAACCATTTTCAGGTATAAAGAGGATTACTTCAGCATAGGTAATTCATAAAAACTCAAGGTTTAAGTTAAAAAGCTGTTTGGACTTGGGAACAGGACTTTATACCTCTTTTATTGTTAACAAGTACTCAATAAAGGAAATTGAATGAAATTAGTGTTCCCGAGTTTCTTAATCTATTTTGCTATATAAAATGATTACATAATGAAACAATCATAAATATTAACAGAGCACTAATATAACCTAAGGATTGTGCTAAGGTGTAAGGATTTAAAAGATGAATCAATTACTTTGTTCAATAGGTAGAGGCAACGAATTACTCATAATGCACCACTGGTTATAACAGAAGAATAAGCAGTTCTGCGCAAAGCCTCAGTTAGTCACTTCTGGGCTCAGCACACTAAGAGTCAGAGAGATCTCCTTCACTAAGACATAAAGTACCTAAGAGTCCACTGTGTGGCAAAAGAAGGGAAGAAAATGTTAGTTTGCAGCGAATGATACAGAAATTGGCTTGATGTACTCAGATCTCAATGACTGCCATCCTTAGATTGGACTGGATGAAATAAATAAGAGCATTCAGAGGATGGTATCCATAGTGGTGAGACCCTGAGTAGGGATTGTTGATAAAATTATACTATGTCTGAGAGCAGAGACTAAAACTGAGGAAGGCCAGACTTGATAGTAGATGCCCAATGTGGATCAGGGAAAAATGGGCTCAGCACTAAAGAACAAGGGAATGAGAAAGCTTATTAGTTAAAGATTATTTTATGTGAACAGTGGTTGGGGTGAGGAAGTGTGATAAAAATTCTGAAAGTGTCATTTACTGAAGAATTGCTCAATAGCTTTGGTTTTACAGAGTTCTTTCTAATCTGCCAGAAAAGAAATATCCTATGAACTCTGTATCCATATATAGAATCTCAGCTGGAAGGGATGTGGTTTGAGCTTCTCAAGATGATTCAGAAGAGGTAGATTTGTGCTGGTAAAATAGATTAAAACATCATCAACACAAATGGGTACTCCAAACAGTCACATGTTACCCACAGTGGAGTACCAGTATATTGCATACAACAAGCCATAAATTCACTCATTTAACCCTTCAGGATTTTCATGTTATAATGAACCAGATGTCTCATAAGTAGTTTTTAAACATATTATATGGTACAATGAAATGGATGTTAAAGTCTGCTTAAAGATTTAAAAGCTCTTTTTTTTTTAAAACAAGAGGTGGGAGGAAGAAATCAGCATTGGCTAGATTGCATACATAAATCTAGTGTGCTGTTCGCATAAGACAGTCTTTCAAGTAACACATGCAAATAAAATTTCAAACAAAATATAAAGAGGATCTATTAAAAACAGAAATAAATTTAATAATACCAATACAAGATTAAAATGTAAGATAAGGAACAATAATGTAATACCCTAAAATAAAGATTTTCAAAGATAAATAAATATCAATACTACCCAAGCACTTTCTAAAAGTTCAGATGGCAGCATAGCATGTGCTGTTACACAGAATAATCTTCAAAATCTGAGGAGATTTATTGTCTCTAGGTTCATATGAAAAAAATGAGACTAATCAAGTTTATATAACTTTTCTTTTTTCTTTGGCCTTTTACATTTAAATCATGCCATCAATCAACTCACATGGTGTCCATTACTCAATAAGTAGAAACTTAGGCATAGCAAACACATTTTTTGTAACCATTCTGACTCTCTGAACCTGATTTTAGCTCTTTTTTTTTTTTTTTGCATAAAGGAGCTATGGACTTTTGGTTTGCACAATATTGAACTTACAACTGAGGTCATAGCAGAAATCTTCTTATAAAGTATTATTTCTCAAGGTTAGGGCTGTGACATTCTGCATCAGGATCCACTAAGAGTCTTACATTAAAATGAAGATTTGGGTGTCCATTCCAAACTAGAGAGTAGTTTCATGGAATCAACATAAACTATGAATTGGTAAAGATAGTGTGGTACCCATACACACTAGAATACCTAATTTAACCATAAAAAGGATGCGGTCCTGTCATTTGCAGCAATATGAATGGAAATGGAGATCATTATGTTAAATGAGATAAGCCAGACAAATACTTCATGACCTCACTCATAGGAGGAACATAAAAATGAAGCTGTGATAGAAGTGGAGAGTTGAGTAGTGCCATAGGCTAAGGAGAAAAATGGGGAGATAGTTGATCAGTGGGTACTAAGTTACAGTGAGGTAGAATGAGAAGTAGGGTGACTATGGATAATAGTAATGTACTATATATTTCAAAAAACTTAAAAATTTTAAAAGGTTTCACCACAAACAAATGATAAATATCCACAGAGACAGATATGTTTAACCTACTTTAAACATTATACAATGTGTGCATGCACTGAAATATCATGTTACCCCACTAATGTACAAAATATTATGTTTTTATGTATTACTAAAAATAAGTTATAAAAAGAGTCTATTGAACAAATTTTGCCCATGGTTTTTATAAACACAGAAGTTTGGGGGTTTCCCCCTTTTTAAGAAGTTTTAAGTGCAATTGGATTGCAATGAGCTGCAAATACCTAAGTGTGTAGATTAATAAGTTTATGCATATTATAACCCTGTGAAAACCATTAACCCAAAGGTTTCCTCATATCCCCTTAATTTTCCCATGTTTCTACCTGTCCATGCCCCAGCTTTCAGACACCACTGATCGATTTCTCAACACTACAGACAACTGAATCTTCTTACTTTTATACAAATTGAATCATACAGTGTGTGCAACCTGTTTTTGCCAGCTTTCTCTTACATTCATATGCAGGCATGGAATGAAAGGTACATGATAAACATTGAGAAAACTTATTAAACCAATGGAATTTATTCATTGGACATGACATTGCTTTTACGATATATCAGAAAGGATCAGATCTACCCATCATCTGGAATAATTCTTTCCTGCTACTCAGCAAGACTCTTCAGAGTCTATTCCCAAAGCCAATTGAATTACGAAGTTCTTCAATCTGGATGGAGGAAATAGGTACCATTTCAGGTTCTGCATGAGTGTGAAGTACTAGTCCCTCTAATTCTTTCAAATGGTTGTTTCTCTGAGGTTTATTTGCTTCCACACATGCACGTGTTGATCAGTATTGTGTTGAAAACTTAAGGAGATCCTCTAGAGATCCTAGAGTTCTCACTCCATTCACTATCTCCCTCTGGTTCTCTGTCTTGTGAACCAGACTTCTTGGACTCCTTTGACACCCAGCTCCAACTCCTCTCTGACCTCTGGAAGCAGGGATGGTCACGGTCTTTCCCATCACCTAGGCATCATTGTCACTTCTTAACTGATGCCCAGTGTCTTGAGAGTCATTATTTGGATTTTTTATGTTTCTTTTAAAAATTGTTTCAATCAGGGAAATGAATCTGGTCCCTATTATTTCATCTCTTTCCCACGAGATTCTTTCCCATATAATTAATTATATTAACTCCATTCCATAATCATGAATTGCATGCTTAAATAATAGCAACCAACTAAAAATGCTAATCATAAGAAGAGCTAAATAGTTAAACAGTGATGGTGTATATATATATATATATATACTGATTTATCACAAATAACAGTAACAAAAAGAATTCAGAGGCTGTATCTTATAGAGGCTACTATTGCTACACAAGCACACACCCAGTCACACATAATCCAACAAGAAATTGCCCAAAAGAAAACCATATCTGAATTTTGCTTATTGTGATTTCTTTTTATAACCATCTGAAGAGTTATTTCTTTTTATTTATAAATGTTGGAAAGATATTTCTTGAGATTTTAAGTACTTTTTTCTTGAAAATAGAATAACTGCCCTCACTTCTGTGAGTCTTACACAATATGCAATAAATATTCATTTATGATGTTTCTAGACTATAAATGAAATAATGGTGATTTCCTAGTCAACCTAAGTTCCAAAACAACACTTTGAAAATGAGACCATATGTGAATAAGGCTGATAGCTGGCTTTCATGTTTTACAAAACAGCAACTAACCATTGCATTTCTTAAACTTTTGTGAAGTTTCACAAAAATTTATGAGAACAAAGAAAGATCTGAAATAATCTGTTTAGGAAGCTTCATGTAGGATGAATCAAACAATCTCATATTCTTTAAATCCTTGGTAGTTGACAATAACAACAAAAGACTTGAGATTATAAGAAATATTCCATAAGAATGATAAATATATACTGAAAAAGAAGTACGATCAATAAACAATATGTAAAGTAAAGAGCTACTCAGTGAAAAGGGTTTTTGGATTAATTATTCCTAAAAATTAGTCAAGTTTAATGTATTTAAAATTGAGAAACTGTTCATTAGTCTGTTTTTATTGCAAAAATTAATCTAGTTTTTTCTTAATTTATGAAAACAATACAGCAATTGATTTAAAATGAAAGACACTAATTTATCCTTTGTAACAGATCTCAATTAAATTTTTCCTGAAGTCGATTACTATCACTGATACTTGTGTTTCAAGTATTTGGACCACAATTTCTATGTCTCTTTTGCTGCAATGCCTGTACATTTATATTCTATTTTAACAACTTTATATTGATTGCATCCTTGTATTTTGCCTGCAGTCAAATATGGTAAATGCCTTTCCAGAAATATGCATAATTATGGATATTATGGATTAAAAGCTGCCCTCCCATATTCACCATCTTCTTAGCCCTAATGTAAATAGACATGCAGAAAAATGAACATAATGATAAAAAGAAAATGATTTTGGTATTTTCTCTAACCAATTTAATAGGCAAACATAAGAACTACATTTGAAATATTAATACAAAATGCATTGAAAGGCTGTAAAGCAAAATAAACTCAGATTATGCAACAATATTCTTTGACCAAGGAATACTTTTATCTCTAAATTGTTTAAGTGACTACTTCAGTTTATAGCTTTGTCTTTTGATAGTTCAGAGCAATAAGACAGTTGGTACATTGAGTCTGTCTAAATACAAAAGGGATATAATCCTGAATGTAATTATGGGTTCTACTTTTAGTTTCTTAAGAAATTTTTAAAATAAGTAACACTTTTGAAAAGCTAAACCAAAAAATAACTAAATCTAAATATATATTAAATGATAAGCAAATTATAGCCTCCAGCCAAATGTGGCCAATGGCCTATCTTTGTAAATAAAGT